GAAAGACTGGGATCAGAAGAGCAATGACAGAAGCATAGACTCCTCTAACGAAGAGTCATCCGTATTTGATAAAGAGCTGGAAAAGTTTGACAATCTGTGTTTTGGTGAAATAAGAAGGAAGATCTGGGTCAGAATGGAAAATCCTGCACACTGCTTGTCTGCCAAGCTAATTGCCGTGTCATCCCTGAGTGTTGTCTTGGCATCCATCGTGGCCATGTGCATTCACAGCATGCCAGAGTTCCAGAGGCTGGATGCCAATGACAGGGAGATTGAAGACCCTGTGCTGGAAGCTGTGGAGATTACGTGCATCATCTGGTTCACTGCTGAGTTAGTGATCAGGCTTATCGCTGCTCCCAGTCAGAAGAAGTTCTGGAAGAAACCACTGAATATTATTGACTTTGTCTCCATCATCCCATTTTACGCCACCTTGGCCGTGGACACCAAGGAAGAGGAAAGTGAAGATCTTGAAAACATGGGGAAAGTTGTTCAGATCCTGCGGTTAATGAGGATATTTCGCATCCTGAAACTGGCCAGGCACTCCGTGGGGCTGAGGTCTCTAGGTGCCACTTTGAGACACAGCTATCAGGAAGTTGGGCTCCTGCTTTTGTTCTTGTCCGTGGGGATTTCTATTTTTTCAGTGCTTGTCTACTCAGTGGAGAAAGATGATGACTCGTCAGAGCTGCACAGCATCCCCATTTGCTGGTGGTGGGCAACCATCAGCATGACCACTGTTGGTTATGGGGACACTTACCCAGTCACACTTGCTGGGAAGCTGCTCGGCACCCTGTGCATTATCTGTGGGATACTTGTGGTAGCACTTCCAATCACCATTATTTTCAATAAGTTTTCAAAGTACTATCAAAAACAGAAAGATATTGATACAGACCAAGGCAACAACGATCACAAAGAGAAATGTAACGACCTACCTTACTTTAACATTAGAGACATCTATGCAAAAAAGATGCACTCCTTCATCTCTAGCCTTTCTTCAGTAGGAATTGTGGTCAGCGAGCAAGACTCAACAGATGCCTCCAGCATCCAAGAGATGGAGGATGTTTATAACACAACATCTTTAGAAAATGGTACAGGAAAATGAGTTGAATTCGCTTTCACTTCCCTTTGTTTCTCTTCTGAGTCTTGGTAAATGTGGACTTACAAACTTCAGTGAATTTATTAAGAGCAGTTAATTCTCAGGGTACTTAACTCTCAGCCATATTTGGACATTCTTTGCTCTGAGGATGCCCTACAAGCTTCATTGTTTATATGAGGCTTTAAAATATGCCTCGTGTGGTGGTTTAGTTTTTACACAACTAATGTTATGCATTTTTGGGGAGAAAAAGAAGTCAGGAAGACAGTCTTCAATGTGAGATCAGTGTTTGTTTGGTTTTCTGGGGTGGGTTTTTTTGCTTGGTTGGTTGTTGGTTGTTTTTTTTTTCCCTGATAGCTTATGCAGAATCTGCTTTTACAATTTGCTGCTGTTCAGGTAGAGATAGATTAGCAACACCTAAGAACTCCTGCACAACTCAGTGGCTTTTTTTACCTGCAAATACATCAGGATGAAGAAGGAATTATGTACATGTAAAACTGTGCTCACTGACACATTTATGTAATCTTGGAGCTGGGAACCTGTTTCCTAAGTTAGGGCAGAAATTGTATTGGTACATATGGTTTTTACTCCATGGAAGCATAATATTTATGAATTTCTTTCCAAAAGCACAATGCTTAGTTTGTAAAATAAATTAATCCCATTGTGCCTATATTTTCCCCAGTGTCCAGCATGGCCAAGCTCTGTCAGGTTCTGAATGGTCTAAATCACAGTTTCCAGGATGAAGGAACCAGGAGCTACTGGAGAGTCCAGCACAGGGCACTGAGATGCTGAAGGGGCTGGAGCCCTGTGAGGAAAGGCTGGGAGAGCTGGGGCTGCTCAGACAAGGAGGCTGAGGGGGGATCTGATCAGTGCTGATCAATATCTACAGGGGTGTCAGGAGGATGGGCCAGACTCTGCTCAAGGGTGTCCAGGGACAGGACAAGGGGCAATGGGCACAAACTGGAGCACAGGAGGTTTGACCTGAATATGAAAATATCCTTCTTTACTCTGAGGGTACCAGAGCCCTGGGACAGGCTGCCCAGGGAGGTTGTGGGGTCTCCATCCCTAGAGACATTCCAAACCCTCCTGAGTGTGTTCCTGTGGGATCTGCTCTAAGGGATCCTGCTTTATCAGGGGGTTGGACTAGATGATCTCCAGAGGCCCCTTCCAACCCACCATTCTGTGTTTCTGCTAAGTGTGTGACACAGAGCAGGTAGGAGCAAACACAAGCAGCATCCTGGCTGCACTGGTTCACAGCCCAGGGCTGTCGTGCCAAGCAATAGAGATGTGCAGGCATGTTCTCCTCTACTGTGTGTCACCCATCAGAGAGGTAGGGTGGGCACTGCCTGTGAGCACCTGTGTATTAAACTATTTCATCTGCTTTTTCTAAAGCTCATCAGTTGGTGATGGCATCTTTTCTGGCTTGTAGTATGGGCTGGAGTGCTGCTCCCTGCCCAGCAGTGCTGCAGCTCTGTGTGTTCCTCTCCAGGGGTATCTTGTGCCACCAGCTAATCCTGCTCTGCTTCAAACTGGATCTTCTAAGGCCATTTAAAAGGAAAGCCAGCTCTTGAGCCTAGCATAAAGAAGTGCTGGAGAAACTCAAGAACCTTCTAGAAGTCCACAGTGTTTCTGAACACTCATTTACTTTCTTTTGTCTAGTGACTAAATTAGATGCTGGACAATGAAGAATTGAAGATACTGTGATGTTGATATTTTCTCAAAGAGACTCTTCACTTTTCTATTTTCCTTTTTCTCTTTTAATTATTGGGCCAAATGCTGAAGGCCTAACTCAGTTTCTAGTCAGGCACATCAAACTCAGTAGGGACTGACTTCAAGGCTCAGTAAAACCAGAAGATGGCAATTGATTTCAGCCTCTGCAGAGGGTTATTTTCTGAGATGTCTGCCAGGTTTTCTATATCTAATACACTGAGTAGCTGAGGTGCACTCATATTTACTGAGGTATAGAGCTCAAACCTCTCTCTGGGACAGTAAAACTGAAAAGAATGGAATGGACCAACCTATATCTTGGGAAGAGGTGTCTGTCAGGGCTCCTGTGCACCCAGGTAGTGATTTAGGACTTCCAGGGAATAGTTTGAGCTCTGGAGAAACTTCCAAATTTGGCTTATTTCTTACTGAGTGTCCTAAGTATATGTGATGCTTCACAGATAATTCAGGTTAATTCTTCCCATAGTTAGTGCCAGAATACAAAAGGGAAAGTTGGCCTAAATGTGTTTTGTTCTGAGTGAACAGTTAGCATTACAAAGATGCAGTGATATAAAATATTAAATATGTAATTGCATATGAATAAAATAGGAACCAGCAGAATAACAACATAAAAATCACTGTCTGTACAAAGAAACTCTCTTGATAGACTACATATAAAGATATATTACATTGCCACTGAAGATCAAAGGCAATTAAAAATACTGTAATGCAAGGAAAACTGCAAGAAATTTGTATGAAGTAGTTGAAAAAAACTTGTGACTGAAAAATCTCATCTTATGTACATTACCCAAGGATCAAAGAATATACAATTTTTGTATTAAATTTTACTGAGTTGTGATTTGTCATAAAATTAATATGTTTTTGATCAATCATATGAATCAGTTTTAAGGTTGTAACACTGTTTAAGTTCCTCTGACTTTTTTTATGCATAGACACATCTTGCAACATAGTGAGGCATGTCTTCTGGAAGGTATCAGGAGGTAGAGTATGTATCCATACCTCATGCAGTGCATGTTATTTTGACTTTTGGGATGAGATCTTGGTTTTTTCTAATAGCTTAAAAAAAACTATTATCTGTTCCCTTTGCTGGAATAAATCCAGCACCTTGGTTTCACGTAGGTGTAACTGGGAGCAGGGTATGAGCCCTTTTTCATGCAAAAAAATTCTCCCCTTGGGGCAGAACTGCAGTCCTGAGAAACGGACTAGTACTAGAGTGTGTCACAAGGGCCAGAAAAAAGCAAATGAAGGCAAATACTGAGATACTGCATGATCTTCCTGCTAGTAAAAGCTTTTAGTAGAATAATTTACTAGTGAGAGATAAGTGTGAGAAGGGATTGTTTCTTATTTAATTTCCCTTCTTCCTTGGTCTAGAGTTACAAATTATCAATGTGTAATATCAGTATCAACAAAAGGTAGATTGTCCTTATTGCTTTTGTATTCCTGTTTCTCTTTAAAAACACATCCTAAATTCTCTCCACTCAGCTGCTCTGTTTCAGACACCAAAGCACAGAAGAAGTTACCCTTTGGATATAAATGCCATTTTGCAGAGGAGGGATTAGTTTGCCCTTAGAAAAAACCAATTTCCTGGCACGTTATCAGTTCCTTTGTCTTGCTGGCAAACGCTCCTCCTTTGATGTTCATTATTGTCAGAGTAGCATCTGTTTTTGCAGTGTTTCTCCCTTGTGGAGCATGGGAAGACACCACTGCACCACACTGCAGTTTCTTGTTTGAGCAGCTTCCAGCTAGCAGGGATCACCCTGGGGCCCGTGGCTCGTGCCTTGCTGGGAGCAGGCTCTGTCTTTGCCACCACTTTTTGGCATGAGAGAGAAGATGGAAAAAGCCAGAGTGAGGAACCAGAGGGGAGAAGTGGGAGAAGGTAGGAAGCCATAGAACAAAAAGGGGTTACAGAAAAGCCTGAGAAGAACTTAGAAAGAAGAGATCAAGAAGCTGGCAGAGTCCTCACTGTCTTCACTTTATTTCATGCGTTTTCCACTGCTGCTTTTCTTCCCTTTCCTCCCTTCCTGCTTTGCATCCCCTCCTGCTCCCACCATGCCCTCAATTCCTGCTCAGCTTGTGGTCCAGCAGTCCTGTTTATATCCCGGAACGAGGAGCTTTCCAAGTTGGGAAAGGCACATTTCATCTGCCTGAATGGCAGCAGGCAGAACTTAGCAGGGAAGAAATTAGTGAGCACTCCTGCTGTGAATATGAGCAGTGATTAACACACTTACGGGATGTGCTTTTTTTGTAAGAAAAGCCACAACGTGGCTCAAGTCAATGAGCGTAAATGTAAGCAGAGTGAACCACAGCTCTGTGTCAGGCCTGTGAATGAAATAGCACTTATGGCTTAGACAGAAATTAGTCTCAGGCACCATAATGTGAGATATTGGCATTTCAAAGCAGACCCCGTGCTGAGTCCTGTGCAGACTGGTTGCTGTCAGGGAATGCTGAGAGGATCAGGCAGGTATGACTGGCAGTGCCCGGGCTCTCGGCGTGCCAAGGGCTGCTGCAGCCTGCTGGGGATGAGTCCATTTATTCATTTCCACCCAGTCCTAACATCTAGAGTGAGTGACAGAAAATCACTAAGCTGTGGAGAGTTTCTCTAATATTTTTTGATTAGCTGACAGTGCTTGTGAAGCTGCTAATACCTCTTCATCCAAAAGAGGACATTCCTCAAACGGAATCGGAATAACCCTGCGCTCGACGTGCAGTTTGTGACTGATAGCAGCAGCTTAGTCACACTTGGTAGATGATGCTGTCTGGCTCTGTGTGCCTGCAGTGCAGTTGCTTGTGTTTCCAAAATGTTTATGCTCTGTCAATCAAGAGACAGCAGATGCCATTAAAACCATCTCAGCACTTTCCCAATGCACAATAATTGTGGCGTCTCTTCTAAGCACAGCAGAACGTCAGGACTTGCTGACACCTCCTTTTTAATTCCTTGTGCAGATGTAGTCAATTTTTCATGATGGGCCTGTGGTCCAAGCACAATCTAGCAGAAGAGAAACTCACTGTGTGGTTCTGGACAGGTTACAGGATTTTGCTATTGACTTCCACTCTGGGCATTGCCCTCCCACCCAACTGGCACAGCTAAGATGGTACAATGAGTGGTAATTCACTGTGGTGAATCCATCCTGGGGGCTGGATATAGCTTATATGTAATTGTATATATGCCCTCTGGGCAAAGCTTGTTTATTTAGATCTACCATATAATCAGATGAAATATCAAATGTGACACTTGCCTTGAGAAACCATTTAGAGTTCTTTTTCTGATTAATATATTGTAGAAG